TAAATAATTTAAAATTATATTAATATAGAATATTAAAATTAAATTATATAAAAACAATAAATTGATAATATCAATGAATATTATAAATATAAATATTTGTGATAATTATATTACATTAGATCAGTTTTAATTTATTTCTCACGTCAATCATGATTTGATGATTGACATAAATATCATTTTAAACAAATAAAAAAACAGATTTTAAGTTAAAGATATTTAAGTAGTATTTTTATTATGTTACAAAATGAAATCGGTTTCATGTAACCCAATCGATACATCGGGTTATCCAAAAATCGATCGAGTCAATTAGTTTATTTTATTTTTTAAAATATATTTGATTCAATAATTAAATCAAACCTAACCATTCGATTCAATATATTTTAATTTTTTAATATATTTGATTCAATATATTTTAATTTTTTTAACCTCTTTGCAGCCTCATGTTTTCTTTTGTGAAGTAATTTATCAGGGACTATACATGGAGTGTCACGTAGGTATATTGACATCAGATAAGCCAAATATTTTCTCCTCTCTCCACTGGTGAATGCCAAATCTCATTGTTGGTGTTTGTAGGTCACCACTGTTTCATATGTGTAGTTTGTTCGAACAGCTTGTGCACTTAATGGACAACAATGAAAGCACAGTTTGTGGTGCCACTTGTGCTTCCTCGAGCCACATACATTCGAACCAATGCTTCTGCAGTCAACCGATAGATCCACAAGAATCAAAGTTAGGTATTTTAATGCATTCTACTTCATTGGATTACATAAACTAACATTGGAATTGGAAAAGGAGGAATCTCGCATGCATCTTCTCTCCCCAGTGGATGTCCACGGGTCGTTCATGGGTCGGAGCTCGGTGACATCGGTGGTGGGTCTCCTTCACCGACCATTACACTAAGTTCTCAGTCATGCGGTCAGATTTCAGACACAGAAGAAGCAGAGCCGCAAGCGTGGAAAACGCTTGCACAAAGTCCTCGACACACGATCTCTCTTATTCAACGATGAAATGGCTGCGGAGAAGGAAAATGAAGTCGACAGAGAATGCTTGTGTCTTTCATGTTATTCTATTGAGTCATCCCTTTCTTTTGTGCGTTCAGATCGGAAGCAGATGGATCAGCTCTGGAGTAGTGGTTTCGTGAATCGATCCACTTCTGTTCTCTGTTCAGATTGGAAGCGAACGAAGTGGAGCTTCCACTCGTTGATGTCGGATGCAAGCTGAGAATCGAAATTTAGATGTTCATTATTTTTTATTAATGGAAACTCTAACCCATGAAATCTAATCGATGCTTAAATACATCACATCAATAAAAATTGAACCCATTTATTGTCTTCTTTGTCTCTACGTGTCTCTTGTGGTCCAAATCCGTCATCCCCTGATGACCATGAACGCACGGCTCCATGTAAACGACAGGGAAGCAAGTGCAAGAAACGTGAACCCCGGACCTGCCTTCCTGCTCATCCAGCTTATAAGTACGTACGAGGGAGGGAAGACGTCACAGGAACTGATCGGAAGACTGTCCTTGATGAGCTCCACAAACACGCCCATGTCGATTGGGCTGCTCCACGCGGTGATGTCCCTGGTTTCCACCTGCTCCTCACGCATGGCGCGCGCAGCCAGGAAGCTGTCCAGGCGCCGGTGCAACGTCATCCCTTCCGCCCGCGGGAAGAAGATGGCCGTCGAGGAGGACGCCAACGGCGAGCTGGAGGACGGCGGGGACGGGGTGTGGCGGAGGACGATACTGATGGGGGAGAAGTGCCAGCCGCTGGACTTCTCCGGGGTCATTTACTATGACGCGGACGGGCGGCGGCTCTCTGAGGTGCCGACGCAGCGCTCGCCGCTAAGGAGCCCCTTGCCTTCCTTGCCGCTGAAGGCTCCGATGACCGCCAATTAGCCACAGTTTCTACATGAACGCCGTCAGTGTCTCCTTTCTCTCTCTGTTCTCATCTGAATCCTCTCCATGTTCTCTCCTCCGATCGTCTTTTGACCTGCTCAAATAGACGAAGCTTCAGCCCTCGGTTTGAGTCTACATGGAAAATTACCTGTTTGAATTGCTATCTTTTCCTGCCGACTGCAAACAGGAGGAATTAGTCTGTCCGGAGACATCTCCGGTGAACCAAAGCGTGATTACTGCTCCTGTGTTTGTTATTACGGCTCGAAAGAGCTCAATATGTCATAACGAGTCCGATGAAGATGATAATTGATTTTTCTTTTTCGTTCAAGGTGATGATGATCCCTCTTATTAAATTAGTTTTTAATATTTTTAAAAATATTTTAAAAATATAATAAAATAATAGTTAACTCTATAGATCCATTCTTTTTCGTGAAATAACTAATATAAATTTATGATTCCAAGTTTAAAACTAATTAAATAATAAAAATTCACATATAATTTCTTAAAATATAAATATGTCTAATTAAATTATAACAATGAGGGAGGGGTCTATTACAATGGGCTGTTGGCCTCCTGTGCTAACTGCTAAGGGAGAGGGCCAACCTATATATATATATCCCAACCTAAGCAGCCCAGAGGACAGCTTGTGAGAATTATTTGTGTGGATCTCACTCATCTTCTTCACATCGCACTGGTGTGGAAGAACTGTAAGAGCTGGAGCGAGAACATGTAAATATCAGGCAATTTTCTTTAGGATACACTGATTTCCTCATAAACTGGGAACTCCATGCTTTGGATATCTTTCGAAAGCAATTCCAGAACAAAAATAACAGCAAACAGAAAGAGAAAAGATTCAAGAAGACGAACACCTCTATATTATGGAATCACCTTCATATTTCTTTGTTTCTCTTAATAAACGTTCTAATAAAAATTATTGTTTAGTAAATGCTATGTGCATTGGAACATAGATATATAATAGATAGTGGGCACTTTAAACAACCAGAAGAGGAAAGGAAGAAGAATGTAGACAAAAAAAAAAGATAAAATTTGATTCGATTTCACTTCTCCAAAGCCAATACATGCATTGCACACACGACACCTTTGATATCCATAAATGTAAAACATTTGTGAAAATAATCGATGGAGCTTTGTGAGGATATAAACCCTCTGATTAAATTACTTCGAAAACTCAAGTTAAAACTCTCTTTTGTCTATCTACTAAGGTTGTTTTGTAAATACACTTTCGGATATTAATACTATAGATCCATATGTTTATCTCGGTCGCATTAGATGAAGATTTTTTTTTCCTAAATGTTGTAATTGATTTGGATCTCGATAACTTGTAATTATAGAAGGTGAAGTTATTTCAATAATCTTGTAAACTACATTTGTGATTACTATTACAAGCATAGGAGGTGGCCATTGATGCATCAGCTATGATTGGCTGCTTCGTTGAAAAATAAATTATAACTGTTATTAACATTAAATTAATTAATCATTCTAACATCACAATTCAATAATTATGATTTATTAATTATAAAATTTTAAAATTAAAATATTATTACGTATCATATACATTATAGTAATTTTAATATTAAATATTAAATATATTAAAATTTTAATAAAAATTAATAAAAAAATATCTATTTTTCTTTAAGGAATTGATTAAAGGAGAAGAAAAGTAAATAATATTTTTTTTTATTTTTATTTTAATTATTTTACTTTCATAGATAAAAATAGAAATATATTATTTATTTATTCATAGATAAAAATAAAAATTATATTATTTTTTAAAAAAAATATATTGCTCATTAGGAAATAAATCAATTAATAATATAATTAATTGATAAAAATCTAACTTATCCATGGGAAATCAATTTTAATTATTTCTTTAACCACATTATACAAATAAGGTAGTTTGATACAAAGAAAAATAATAGATTATTGCAATAATAAATCAATACCTGATATAATACATCTTCATGGATAATCCAACTATTATCCATCCAAGTAGTTTCCATGCTCACATATGTGTTACTTGTCCAACTACTATACATTGAAATAGTTTCCATGCTCACATACGTATCTCATGTTAGATTGTTATTCATTCAAGTAGGTCTCAACGAGGGTTGATGGATAACTATTCAATCCTAAATAATCCTAAGTTCTTATCCATTCAAACCTCCTAAACTTCTATACCTTCTCTTCTGCATTCCTATAAATGTCTTATGCATAGTCTGTCACTCACATATCAAACTACGTTTAAGATATGTTCCATTCGGTTCTCACCCTTCTTCTCGTGCGTCAGACCTCAATTTGATCCTTCTTATTAAATTATATTTTAATTTTTTTTAAAATATTATAAAATAATAGTTAATTCTAAATCCATTCTTTTTCATGAAATAACTAATATAAATTTATGATTCCAAATTTAAAACTAACTAAATAATAAAAATTTACATATAATTTTTTAAAATATAAATATGTATAATTAAATAAATTATAACTATTATTAACATTAAATTAACTAATCATTCTAACATCATAATTAAATAATTATGATTTATTAATCATAAACTTTTAAAATTAAAATATTATCATGCATAATATATATTATAATAATTGTAATATTAAATATTTTAAATCTTAATAAAAATTAATAAAAAATATCTATCTTTCTTTGAGGAATCTCTTGTAAACCCTCATATAGGAATAAAGGAGGAGAAAAGTAAATAATATTTTTAATTTTAATTTTAATTTAACTATTTTTCTTTCATAAATAAAAATAGAAATATAATATTTATTTATTTACATACAAAAATAAATTTTATATATTTTTTAAAAATCATATTACTCATTAAAAAATAAATCAATTAATAATATAATTAATTGACAAAAAATCTAACATATCCATGAGAAATCAAATTTAATTATTATTTTTAACCACATTACACAAATAATATAGTTTCAGGTAAAATTGATACTCGATGCTATCCGTTCAAACAAGTGGTCGAAGAATCAACCACCTGGTTCCATCTGGTTCTCGTCCTTCTTCTCGTACGTCGACCTCTTGCTCTCCCTCCTATCAACCAGCAATCCACGCTTTATGGTTGGAGCCCACCAACTAAATCGTGATGCATTTCTCGAGGGCTTCGTCTCGTCTTTAGCACGGCAAGCTCTGCCTACTAAGTTGAGGGCATGGCGCTCAAGGGCGACAGAGGACCGAGCATATGGGTTGCATTCGTTAGGGTTTTGGGTATCATGCAATCTTTCTCTTTCTCTTTTACTTCACCTTCTTCACTGAAATGATTTAATATTTTTCCTTGAAGGATTTCTATTCGTGTGTGTTGGTTGAAGGATTTCTATTCGTGTGATATCAACATCACAAAGAAGTTCAACTTTGATGCATATCGATTCTCGATCTCCTGGAGCAGGATTTTTCCAAGTACTGGAAACATATTTTTCTATTATTTTTTTATCATCCATTACTCATCTTTAAAAAGTAGCATTGGAGTCTCTACATATAAAAAAAAATATTTAACCCCGATTCTTCTTACATTGTTAATTTCATCGATAAAAAAATTACATATATTGTCACATGCAAAAAGATTGTGAATGAAAAGGATAAAATTTACAACATGCGAGTAGCGAGCGAGGAGGAAATTAAAATTTTATATAAAATTAATAATTTAAAAGATAATAACGAAAGGAGAGAACCTATATCGTATTTCTACTCTACACATTCCTTTTAACAATGGATGGAAGAAAAATCTAATTATCACATCAAGAAGTAATATGATAAAATATTATAACAAACTTCCATTGTATCATCAACCTAATCTAAAACGTGAGTTAAAAAATGCTTGACCATATAGGTTGATCTATCTAACCAATCTAACTTGAGTCCGACCTCGATTTGATTCCTTTTATTAAATTAATTTTTAATATTTTTAAAAATATTATAAAATATTATAAATAATAGTTTAACTCAAAATCCATTCTTTTTCATGAAATAACTAATATAAATTTTTGATTCCAAGTTTAAAACTAATTAAATAATAAAAATTCACATATAATTTCTTAAAACATAAATATGTCTAATTAAATAAATTATAACTATTATTAACATTAAATTAGCTAATCATTCTAAAATCATAATTCAATAATTATAATTTATTAATCATAAAATTTTAAAATTAAAATATTATTATGTATCATATACATTATAGTAATTTTAATATTAAATATTTTAAAATCTTAATAAAAATTAATAAAAAAATCTATCTTTCTCCGAAATCTCTTTCAACTCTCACATAGGAATAAAGGAGAAGAAAAGTAAATAATATTTTTAATTTAATTATTTTATTTTCATAGATAAAAATAGAAATATTTATTTATTTATTCACATATAAAATATAAATTTTATATTATTTAAAAAACATATTGCTCATTAAGAATCAAATCAATTAATAATATAATTAATTGACAAAAATTCTAACTTATCCATAGGAAATCAAATTTAATTATTTCTTCAACCGTATTAAACAAACAAGTTAGTTTGATACATGTTAAGAAATAAAAATAATGGATGATTAAAATAATAAATTGATACTCGATAAAACAAATCTTATAACCCAGCTATTATCGGTCTAAGTAGTTCCCATATATGTACCTCATGTCAAGCTGCTCTTTATAAAAGTAGGTCTCAATGAAGGTTGACGAATCAATTGTTCAATACCAAATATCCTGAGTTCTCATGTACTTGAACCTCTTGAACTTCTATACCTTTTGCTCTTCTGCCCTTTTATAAATATCTTCTGCATATTCTCTCACCCACATCATCAGACTATGTTCAAGATGTGTTCTATTCGGTTCTCATCCTGCTTCTCATGCGTTAGACCTTAGTTTGATTCCTCTTATTAAATTAGTTTTTAATAATTTTTAAAAATATTATAAAATAATAGTTAACTCTAGATCCATCTTTTTCATGAAATAACTAATATAAATATATGATTCCAAGTTTAAAACTAATTAAATACTAAGAATTCATATATAATTTCTTAAAACATATATATGTCTAATTAAATAAATTATAACTATTATAAACATTAAATTAACTAATCATTCTAATATCACAATTCAATAATTATGATTTATTAATCATAAAATTTTAAAATTAATATTATTATGTATCATATACATTATAATAATTTTAATATTAAATATTTTAAAATCTTAATAAAAATTAATAAAAAATATCTATCTTTCTTCTACAAATCTCTTTACAACTATCATATATGATTAAAGGAAAAGAAAAGTAAATAATATTTTTTATTTTTAATTTAATTATTTTCCTTTTATAGATAAAAATAGAAATATATTATTTATTTATTCAAAACAAAAATAAAATTTTATATTATTTTTTAAAAAAATATATTACTCATTAGGAAATAAATCAATTAATAATATAATTAATTGACAAAAATTATAACTTATACATAGGATATCAAATTTAATTTTTTTTTAACCACATTACACAAATAAAGTAGTTTGATACATGTTAAGAAAGAAAAATAATGGATGATTACAATAATAAATCAATACATGATAGAACAAATTTTCATAGATAATCTAGCTATTTTCCATCCAAGTAGTTCCCATGCTCACATACGTGCTACTTGTCCACCGTTATGCGTTCAAATAGTTCTCATGCTCACATACGTACCTTATGTTTGGTTGTTATCCGTTAAGTAGGTCTCAATGAGGGTTGATAGATTAACCGTTCAATCCTAAATAATCCTGAGTTCTTATCTATTCAAACATTCTAAACTTCTATGCCTTTCGCTCTTTTGCCTTCCTATAAATATCTTCTGCATAGTCTCCCACCAACATAATCAGACTATGTTCAAGATATGTTTTATTCGGTTCTTGGATATCCTTCTTCTCATGCGTTAGACCTCAATTTGATCCATCTCATTAAATTAGATTTTAATATTTTTTAAAATATTATAAAATAATAGTTAACTCTAAATCTATTCTTATTCATGAAATAACAAATATAAATTTATGATTTCAAGTTTAAAACTAATTAAATAATAAAAATTCACATATAATTTTTTAAAACATAAATATGTCTAATTAAATAAATTATAACTATTATTAACATTAAATTAACTAATCATTCTAACATCATTATTCAATAACTATGATTTATTAATCATTAAATTTTAAAATTAAAATAATATTATGTATCATATATATTATAATAATTTTAATATTAAATATTTTAAAATCTTAATAAAAATTATCTATCTTTCTTCGAGGAATCTCTTATCAACTACCTATAGCAATTCTTAGGTTTCGATCTCTCATTACTGAGTTAAAGAATGTGAACATGGTAACATCTCATGCTTTAAGAAGATATCAACATCACGAAGAAGTTCAAATTTGATGTATATCGGTTCTCAATCTCTTGGAGCAGGATTTTTCCAAGTATTGGAAACATATTTTTCTATTATTTTTTTATCATCCATTACTCAACTTTAAAAAATAGCATTGGAGTCTCTACATATAAAAAGATAAAATATTTAACCCCAATTCTTTTTACATTGTTAATTTCATCGATAAAAAAAATTGCATGTATTGTCCCGTGCAAAAAGATTGTGAATGAAAAGGATAAAAATTGCAACATGTGAGTGGCGGGTGAGTAGGTGTCATAGTTGCATTAGGCAAGCAGGCGCGTGGGTGAGTGACAGGATGAGCAGACGAGCATACGAGCAAGTGAGTGATGGGAGAACAAATTTTTTTGCATGTGACAACACATGCTATTTTTTTCATCAACAAAATAAATAACATAAGAAGAATTGAAGTAAAATACACTTACTTTCGTAAGTGTATGGACCATAATACAACTTTTTAAAATATAGATACTGGGATGCTAATCATAGTTAACTACATGGGATAACTTATAATTACCCCATCAGAAATATAATAATAATTCTTATGCAGTAAATAAAATTATGCATTAATCACATGTAACATATCTTGATGTCATACAAAATAGTCAGATAATAAAAACATATATCACACATTATGGTGTGCTCTCTCAACAGCAGATAGATGAAGATACATACCTTTCAATAATGAAAAGAGAGAACCTATATAGTATTTCTACTCTACACATTCCTTTTAACAATGGATGGAGGAAGAATGTATCATATCAAGAAGTAATGTGATAAAATATTATAACAGACTTCCATTGTGGATAACCCAGCATAGTTATAAATACAAATGTTAATAATCATATCAATATCATCAACCTAATCTAAAACATGGGTTAAAAATTGCTTGACCATATTAGCTGATCTATCTAATCAATCTAACATGACTCCGACCTCAATTTGATCACTTTTATTTAATTAAAATTTAATATTTTAAAAAATATTTTAAAATATTATAAAATAATAGTTAACTCTAAATCCATTCTTTTTCATGAAATAACTAATATAAATGTATGATTCCAAGTTTAAAACTAATTAAATAATAAAAATTCACATATAATTTCTTTAAAAATAAATATATCTAATTAAATAAATTATAACTATTATTAACATTAAATTAACTAATCATCCTAACATCATAATTCAATAATTATAATTTATTAATCATAAAATTTTAAAATTAAAATATTATTATGTATCATATATATTATAATAATTTTAATATTAAATATTTTAAAATCTTAATAAAATTTAATAAAAAAATATCTTTCTTCGAGGAATCTCTTTTTAACCCACACATAGGAATAAAGGAGAAGAAAAGTAAATAATATTTTTATTTTTAATTTAATTATTTTACTTTCATAGATAAAAATAGAAATATAATATTTATTTAATCACATACAAAAATAAAATTTCTATTATTTAATAAAACAAATTTCTCATTAAGAAATAAATTAATTAATAATATAATTAATTGATAAAAATTCTAACTTATTCATAGGTCAAATTTAATTATTTTTTTAACCACATTAAACAGATAGTTTGATACTTGTTAAGAAAGAAAAATAATGGATGATTATAATAATAAATTGATATTCGATATAATAAATCTTCATATACGTACCTCATGTCAAGCTATTATCAATTGACGGATCAAATGTTCAATCTCAAACCTCTTGAACTTCTACGCCTTCTGCTCTTCTACCCTTCTATGAATGTCTTCTACATAGTCTCCTACCCACA